TTGAACACAGGAAGTATACAGTATCTACCTCCCACAGATAGAGATAGAGCTTCAGTAAGCTTGTGGTTTCGGCATTATATGGCCAGATCGATATATGCGAGACGCTGCCTATCTGCATCTGCGTGCTAAAAGTTGTACATAAACAATTGCTAAGTTTGAGCAAGTGTTGTTAACATATATACTCTTTAATTGGTTTGAAAATATTTGGTTAAGCACCTAGAGTAATTTATTGTTTGTTGGTTTTAGATGTGTAGAAAGTGTTGTTTGAGCAAATGTTTGTTTTTGCAGGTTAATCCTGAAGTGAGATGCGTGAAATGTATTTGTGCATAAACAACAGTCTGGGGTACACTTTTTTTTCTTTGTTTAATTGAATTTTACATTGAAAGTTGATTTGTTTAATTGATGAGGAAATAAGATTTATTTTTTGATTAATTGATTTGTAAAAGTTGATTTGTTTAATTTGATTTGTAAATAAGAATTATTTTTTGCTTGTTTAATTGATTTGTAAAAGTTGAATTGTTGTTTCTAAAAAATTCAATCTGCATTATATTTGAAGGCAAAAAAGACATGTTGAAGGTACAAATTCGCAACGCGAAAGTCATTTCACGTTGCGATAGTCAAATTCGCAACGCGATTTTCAGTTTTCGAATTTGACTTTCTCGTTGATCGCAACATACAACATCAAGGTATATACAACATAAAACACATTCCAAGCTATAAATACAAGATAATGACACTTGAAGAAGCAAGAGAACAACTATCCAAAAAATCAAACATAAGAGAAAATCCCAACATGATAACAACTGAACAGATCATATCAATGTTCAAACTCAAGTTGTAGATTTTGATTTCCTTTTGCTTGGCACCATATGAGATTTTGATTTCCTTTTACTTGGCACCATATGAGCTTTGGATTTTGATGAGCATCGGAAGCATTTCGGACTTATGATTTGGGTGGTACTCAGAAGCATTTCAGACTTATTATTTTTGTTATTATTACAAGTTGTAGCCCTCAATTATCGGGATTTTTAGTTGCCATTTGTTGCATTTCTCGTATACCACCCAGATCATACGCCCGAAACGTTTCTGACGCTTTAAAGTTTACCAAAAAATACGATGGTCAGGATTTCCCTCGCGTTTAAAGTTGAAAAAAAACAATGAAAATTAGGAGTAATCAATGATAACATCCATATTGGCTTGGGCTAATATTTATAGTGGAGCCGAAATTTATATTGAAATTCAAACTCAAATTGAAATTGAAATTCAAACTCCAATTACATATGAAATGAATTTGAAATGCAATGTTAAATTGAATATGAAAAATGCATAATTGATTCATATTGTTAAAGTAACATACTTTATGAACCATCAAGCTAAAAGACAATATTGATTGAGTTCAAAGTTGAGTTGTGAGTTGATGAGGTTGTCACACTTGTCACATGGTTGGAATAAAGTACTCACATGGAAGAGATAGATTGTTTTGTTATACACAACCCATCTCATCTGAATGAAAAAATACATACAATATAATCAAACCAAAACATACATACACAACAAATTTATACATAACAATGTTCAAATAGTGTACTCACAAAAAATGAAATTAATCCGATGAAAAAGGGTTATTTCTAACGAAGTCCGGAACATTATTTTTCTAAATAATGTACCTATAATAATGTTCAAATAATGTACCCACAACAATGTTTAATTAATTTGTTGTTTAATTTTCAATCTGCATTATGTTGAAGGTAAAAAAACCTGTTGAAGGTAAATTCGCAACGCGAAAGGTAAATTCGCAACGCAAAATAAGCGTTGCGATAGTCAAATTTGCAACACGAAAGTCAAATTCGGTTCATTTTACGTTGCGAATTTGACTTTTGTGTTGATCGTAACATACAACATCAAGGTATATACAACATCAAACACATTCCAAGCTATAAATACAAGCTAAGGACACTAATCTTGAACCGAGCATTCATGTCAGTCATAATTTCATATCCCCGATATACCCTTCCATTCAAAAACATTAACTCAGCCAGAAAACCACCCAACACCTTTTTGTTTGCATGTCTATGGTGAGGAAAAACTTGGGTTCTTGAACATGTATGTTTATCAATAAAAGTCCTAACTTGAAACATTTCACAATCTTTTATCCTCTTTGTAATCATACGCAACGTACAATTTTTGTCAATCATACACCTTGTTTCGAAACGATCTTTGCTTCATTTGTTAACTCTTAGTTGATAGCCATCTTCCACACATTTCGTATACAAAGCTATCTTCAAGTCTTCCTTTGTATTAAAACAATCATCTTTCTTGATACGAATAACTTTTGTGTAACAATCAACTGATATCTTTACCAACTTTTCTTCCGGTATCTGAAGTAATTCTGGCATATTCCAGTTATACTCCCGTGGCATTTTCTTCTTTTTCCTTTCTTCGGGGACTTCTTCTTCTTCTTCTTCTTATTCAGGGTTATATGAATTACATAATAGATGTTCAATATGTTCATTCACAATCGTAACTTCCTCTTTATTATCATCAACAACATCTTCCTCGGCAGCGGCTGTTTCATCATCAAAATTCGGGTATTGACCAATATCAAAATCATTACATGCAGGGTCTGTTTCTTCTTCCATCACATCATCAAAATCCGAGTATTGACCAAGATCAAAGTCCGGGTATTGACCAAGATCAAATTTTGAATACTGACTAGTACTCACAATTTTTTCTGTTGGCTCATAATCGTCTAACTGGTCAATACGAAAACCGGAAATTAGTGCTGAAAGTTGATTGGGATTTGGATTAGGAAAAGGTTGTGGGTTTTGAGATTGTGTTTGATATTGTTTTTGGTATTGGAAATGTGGTGAAACAAAATTTGCTTGGTGATGAAATTGTGGTGGAACCATTAAATTTTGGGTTTAAGAACTTAGTTGATTACAACCCGCTACTGACCAAACTTCACTACTTCTAGGTTCAACAACATACAATGTAACATCATCTTCTTGCGAAACACTAATGTAAGCAATGAATCGTTCAACATCTTCATTGTCGGTTAACAAATAAACTTTACCTTTTCTCAGATAAGATAGCCTAAATCCACTTAGAGGCTCTAAATTCAATTTCTTTGCAACACGTAACATTAGAGTTTCATAAGTTAACTTTTTAATGACAGTTTTAGTTGAAAATTCATGGGTAAAGACACATATTGTAAAACACCATGAACATTCTCCCATGACCCTCCAAAACACAAATCTATCCAAACATGATCAACATTAGATGATTTCATTCTTAAAATTGTAAATTAATTTACTAAACAAACGAGCTATAAACTATATATCATCACTAACTTAGAGAAAAACATACATTTATTAAGTTGATAGTTGATAATTTGGGAGAGAAATCATTGAAAAATTATATAGAAATAAAATTATGTGAAAAAAATAGAGATGGGGAAGATGTCGTTGGATATAGGAACGGATGTCGCCGGAGAGAGTGATAGATGGAGATGAAATGAGTTCCGATTTAGGGATTTAGGTTATGAGTTGATGTTGCTGCGTTGTTATATACCCAAAACATTTGTGTTGCGAAACTAAACCTGTTGCGAATTTTGAAATTCAGTTGCTAATTTGACTTTCGCATTGTGAATTTGGAAAATCGCAGCGAAATTGGAAATTGGAATTTGCGTTACGAAATTGGAATTCGCGTTGCGAAATTGGAATTCGCGTTGCGAATTTGTTGGTCATTCTGGCAAATAAAAAAAAGTTGGTTAAATTTCGTATATTATAAGGTATTTTTGGTCACTGAGATTATTTTCTCTATACTTAATGGTCAAAATCAGTCAAAAGATTTAATTAGTTCAATTTATAGATGAGAGAATTTAGTTAATTTAATTTTTCAATTTGGTGGTTCAATTGGTTGTAAAATATGTTTAGAAGATTAATTGATTTTTTTTCAAAAGTTTAGGAGTTTCATACACCCTTGAGAGATTAGAACGTAAATTCTAAAATTTTGAGTTTTTTATTTTATTTTTTGATTGATTTTAATATTTTTACCTTTTTCAAATTTTTTATTATACGTGACATGTTCTAATTAGATTACATAATCTATTTTAATGGTAAGCTTCAATGATATATAGTGATAAACAAAATGATTGTATAAGACTAATTTGAGGGAAAAAATACTGTGGACCAAACTGAAATTTAGGTAAGTCACAGGGAATAAGATGTATTAAGCCATTTTTTAAGTGAAACCGGCGAGTTAGGGAGGGGTCCTAGCTAGTTGGGTCAGGTACCCAGTAAAGACTAATAAGCAAACAAAGGCAGTTAGAAGCTAGGGCAAAGACAAAGCAAATACCTTTTGCGTAGGTGGCTTTCCAAGCTGGCTCTAGGCCCCCATGGCTTAAACAAACACCCGAATCCTGCGCCATAGATCGGCCGACCCACATCACGACAATTTTTCACATATTTTTTCCTCCATTCAAATCAAGCCACCTGCATTATTTAATTTGATTTAGGTATAATGACAAAAAATACTGTTAATAATTTATTAAATAATTATTTTAGTTTTTTTAAATATTTTAGCTCTTAATTAAATAATTGTTATCTATTGGTCAATATCAAGATTAAGGTGTTTGAAATCACAAGTACATAAACAATGACATAACATGTGCCGAAACTAAAAATATAACATTTGTCTAAATTAATTACATGACTATTAGTATGTTATCACTCTAGATACATAAATATTTTCACGTTATCAAAAAATATTAATAATTAATAAGTTATCAATTATCATCTAATTAAGTTTTTTTATTTTATAATTTTTTAGGTCAAAATATAAAAAATAATATAAAGTTAAAATAATTATTTAATTAAACGTGAAAGATATTTTTTGGTCGTCGTGCCTTTAATCTACTCGCTCTATTTATATACACGTCTGACGAATTAAGGACCCCTATCCAAGCTTTGAAGCCCGATTGAGTTACAAGTGGTGCTGCTATAGTTCTGCTAATGGATTGCTTTCCCTCTGCAACCAACTTTAGCTCATCATTCATTGATGGGTCGTCTTCTTCTTCTTATTCTTTGACAACCAACACCAAAGAGAAGACGATCAAGGTAAGCAAAAAGGGCAAAGGAGCCGTAAAACTATCGACCGATCCGCAAAGTGTGGCGGCTAGAGAGAGGAGGCACCGTATAAGCGACCGGTTCAAGATCTTGCAGAGCATGGTTCCCGGTGGGACGAAGATGGACACCGTCTCGATGCTCGATGAAGCCATCCATTACGTAAAGTTCCTCAAGACTCAGATATGGCTTCATCAAGCCATGATCAATGAGTGCCCGTCTCTCTTCGTTCCGTCCCGATCTTTTCCGGTCGGAGCGAATGTTTACCCGTCGTTAAACCCTAGTGATCTAAACCCTGCAATGCTGCAATCACAGGTGCTGCCATTGCCTGATCCTTGCTTCCAGGGTCAATACCAACAAAACTTGCCTTATGACGTGTTCGTGAATCATCATCAATAACTTGATCATCTCGTTTTAATGTTGTCTCAAAAGATCGTGCTTAGGGATATATATTTATATATGTGTGTGCATCATGATTAAATATTGTAACAAAGTCTAATGATGTAGCTGCACCCATCAAGGAAGGAATTTGCATGTATTCTGTATTCATAATCTGTTCTTGAGTGAACTTTCATAAATATCTAGTGTACTTCTTGGATTCGATGATAAAGTAGAAACGCGTGTACATGGACGCGCATATCATTCTCAAGCAAGATCATGTAAGAAAAAGAAGGAAAAGTTGCCATGCACGTACACAATCTCAGTTTTAGCAATGATTTTTATAGATATTTTACACATATATACTGCTGTATTTCTGCTAGATTTTCTCAATAAGTAAAACTTATAATGTTAATCATAAACTACCACAATCTCATTTATACCATCTGTGTGTATATATATATATTAACATTAAGAATTTGTCTTAGGTCTTTATTTTGGTAAAGATGAAGCTTTTAACTAAACTATTACTTTTGATTAGGCCGAGATTGTTAATCCTAGGAGGCAGTGCCGAGCTTTGCCTAAGGGTCCGTTCCATTTCCTTTTTCTTTTTTGTTCTTTTATAGGTTCACTACAACAAAATGGGTTTATAGCGGCGTTTTTAGAATAAACGCCGCTAAAGACTGTACTTTAGTGGCGTTTTTATACAAACGTCGTTATATACTCGTACTTTAGTGGCGTTTTAATACAAAAGCCGCTAAAGACTCGTACTTTAGTGGCATTTTTAATATAGACGACGCTATAGACTCATATTTTAATGGCGTTTTTATACAAACGCCGCTAAAGACTCGTACTTTAGTGGCATTTTTATACAAACGCCGCTATAGACTCGTATTTTAGTGGCGTTTTTATACAAACGTCGCTATAGACTCATACTTTAGTGGCGTTTTTATACAAACGCCGCTATAGACTCGTGCTTTAGTGGCGTTTTTATACAAACGCCGCTATAGACTCATACTTTACCGCTATAGACTCGTGCTTTAGTGACGTTTTTATACAAACGTCGCTATAGACTATGCTTTAGTGGTGTTTTTATACAAACACCGCTATAGACTCGTTTTTTAGTTGGAGTCGTTGTTGCTAGCAACTTTATGTTGTAAATACATTCTTTAAATTGAGAACACAATAGTATTTTATTAATTATTTTGAGATTTGCAGAATAATGGAATAGATCAAGGCATTTTGAAACGAGTGTTTGTTGATTTAAATTTGTTCATCTAATATAATATAAGCCATATATATAAATATTAAAAAAATTACTATATTTTTTTTTGAACAAAAAGGAAAAGCCAGCTGTTCACCACAGCCGTTTCGAACAAAGGAAAAATAATAAATGGGTTCTGCTGAAAAATAAATACTGCCTCAAAAATGGAAATTGTGGGAGCTGGCTTTTCATTCCCTTGCTTCCTCTGAAAATAGACGATAAGAGCTCTTCAGCAAAGGAAAAATAGAAAAGAAGATAGATCTGATATACTAGGAAGAGACCATGTTTGAAAGTTTCTCTACGGTGGATCAATCCAACGTCGGTCTTCGGCGGCTCGAGATTCCACTTGCGTAGGGTTTCTTCGACCCAGAAGCGATCTGTCGACGCTAAACTCCAATCAGTTGCTAAAAGGCGGGTTATCTTGTTCCCTTCTCGTTGTATAAACCTGAAAGAATATGCATGAAAATCCTCTACTCGTTTCTTTATTTCTTGTATCATTGCACTAATCACCAAGAAATTGGGATTTGTTGATTGGAGTTTTAGGATTATAGATCTAGAATCTCAATTTTTATAAGAAATACATCCCTGTTATCATGAAGCCTTCTAATAAGATTTTTATTTTAAAAGAATATAATACTATTTTTTAAATATACTTTTGAGTCTTGTACATGTTATTTAGTTGTTACTGAGTGGATAGCTTTTTGTTGCAGGAGCTGTGGTCATTGCTAGAGTTCATGATTCCTGATCTCTTTGCCACTAAGGATGTGGACTTGAAGAAGCTACTAAATGTAGAAGACAGGGAGTTGGTTGGTCGTATGAAGTCCATTATGGGACCATTCATCTTGAGGCGTCTGAAATCGGATGTTATGCAACAACTTGTCCCAAATATGCAACGGGTTGATGTTTTCTTACTCTTAGTTTTTAATTAGATATCGATTCTTCTTGAGAGACTTCAATTTGAAAATTCCTTTCTAGCATTGTCTGTCCCAGTATTTTATAGTAGCTAAGTATCGTTCTGCAGGTTGAGTATGTAATCATGGAGAAACAACAAGAAGATGTATATAGGGAAGCCATAGAGGAGTATCATACAATTTCACAAGCACGCATAACCAAGCTTTCAGAGTCTTACATCAATAATATTGTTGGAATTCTTCCTCGACGTCAGATCTCAAACTACTTTGTTTAGTTTAGAAATGTGCTTGATGCATTTCCTTATTTTCCCCTTGTCATGTATTTAATTTCAAAAAAGGTTCTTGGTGTTTAAACCTAGGTTCTTTGCTTTGAACTTATCTAGATTGCAAATCATCCATTATTAGTGAGGCGAGTTTATAAGGATGAGGACGTCGTTCACTTTTCTAAAAGGTTACATTCAATGAGTGTTTTTGAATGTACCTTGGACAGAGTAATCGAGGAACTAAGGAATTACAATGACTTCTCCATTCATCAGGTAATACTTTTTATTAAGATTTTTCTTTTTGCATTTGTGTAAGGTTGTGAAAGAAGATAAAATAGGATTAAAGAGGGTGTTTCTTAAGTACTAAAAGAGGATTAGAATGTTGGCAGTTTCTGTTCATTCTATTAGCACATTCTATAAATTTTCCACGCAATATGAAGACCTATATTTTAGTTCTCTTTCTGCAATGGTTCCCTCATTAATTAAATGTATATTAAGTTGTTTAGTAGTATAAAAAACAGTTCCAGACTGATTCAACCAAAAAGCTTAAATTCTGAGCTGAGTGATTGAATTTGGCTTTTAACGCCTACATGTTCTGGGCCCATCGTTGACCTTGCACTGAAACTGAAATGAGGGAACTCAAGATTTGAATAACTTAAGTATTCAACCTAAGTTTCTATGTGAGTATTCTAGGATGTGATTTTAATTACTAAAATCTTCAAAAAAAAATGTAGGCTATATATATATATATATATTCATACATGTTCTTGGGTGTCAAACGGCTGGTCCATGTTCGGAGGTTTTTTAGAGTTCTTCACCCAAGTCCAGTCAATAGCCTGCCACCTCTCAAGAAAATATATAAAAAATGTATTAATATTTATATAATTTAGTTTTAATAAAATTATTTATTAAATAGTAATTCGAGCTGATTTGAATTTGTAAAACCTTGTCCAAGGCATGGCTTATATAGGCCAGACGAGTAACTCGACTCTTAAAAAGGTCTAATGGTTTTGCTCTAAATTCATTTTAGATTTATCTGGTCTTTCAGTTTGGGTCATATTTTCTCCTTTGAGGTGTGGGGTTAAAGCATGTTAAGATTTCACAACTATTACGATAATATATATATAATGTAGAGCATGTTGGCTCATATTGCTATTAGCGTAGGCTTAACTTGTTATGTGTCACGAATCATGGATTGAAACTAAGATATTTACAGGTAAAGAAATTTTCTCAAATTCAATCATGATAAAATTCATGACGCAAATTAATATTTATGGTTTTTGTACTATATGATTTAGTTCATTTGTTTATGGTTTTTGTACTATATGATTTAGTTCATTTGTTTAGTGCATTTGTACTATACGTGTAGACCAATTCAATATGACCATTACTCTCTTTTAGATAAGTTAGGGAACCATTATGGCATTATGCAGGTACAATAATTGTTCCCTATTGTAGGACAGTAAAACATCTTAGAGTAAAATCAATAGCTATTGTAATGTTTTAAACAATAAATATAGCCATTTTAATGTTTTGATGTTAATAGTTGACATTTGGTCCTTACGTACCAATGATTACATGGGATGATAATTGATTAAATTCGAGTGATGATGGTATGGAAACTTGGTTCATGCGGTATTATTCTTAGAAAATTGAAGTATTTCTTATTATTAGAAAAATGTAACCCTTACAAGTTCCGGGGTTCAAAATGTAGCCCTTAAATTGCAGTCTTTCTTATTATTAGTAAACTGCAGGCTGTTGACACAGTTGTGGCTGGGATACTACATGATGTAGTTGATGATACTTGTGAAAGTTTGTTCATCATAGAAGCAGAATTTGGTGATGATGTAGCAAGGTTGGTAGCTGGTGTTTCTAGACTAAATTATATAAATCAGGTAAGCCTTGATTTTAGTTTTTGTTGTCTGTAGAATCATCATCCTGAATCATTATTTTCCATTACAAAGTATTTGTAAGCAGTATGCTTACCTTGTCTTGCATCTTAATCCTTTAATAAGGATAGTTTATTATTGTACCTTTCCTTGTGTTTGTGAAGCGCTAGGGTCTTGGAGAGCTGACTCCAGTCATGTAACCGTAGTTGGTTGTTTGTGCAAGTTTTAAACTGTAAAAGAAAAAACTAACATAGAAAGAAAAGAATAAGAAGAAAATAAGTTCATTATTGGTGGTCGTATCATATTTTTATCTTATTCTTATTTTGACATGTAAAGGGCCAGCACGTCATCATTTGTAAGTCATTTTTAATTAAAAAATGAATTGTTGAAAAATATCCATTTCTGGAATTGAGTTGGTTTTCTCTAGAAATTCCTAGGTGAGTTGATAAACTCTTTGGTCATATTAAAAACTCCATAAAACAGAAGCATTAGTTAGGCAAGTTTATCTTCCAATAGAACTTTTTTTTTCCAATTTGGAAATTCGTAGAAATTATCTAGAAACAACTTATGTTGTCAAGGTAATTCTTATTTATTTCCTTTGCTTTTTTGCCAAAAAAGAAAAGAAAAAAAAACGTTTTTATTTCTGATACCTGATCTGGTACATTTGGGAAATAAATGTCTCATCAATTGATGGAAATGATAGGGAAGCCATAACTATGTTACTGTCAGTTTAGAAAGTTTGAATTCTAAATTCTTATTCTTACTATTTTTCTTACCGTAGTTAATATTTGCCACCTTTGATGTTGTTCCTTGTGTTTCCAAAAATGCATGATGCCTTTGTGGTGCGGCATATCATTTTTATTTTCATGATCATTCTTTTGTTTTTTGGATCCTTAGATTGTAATATTTAATGCCTTGCACTATATAGATATTTATCTGATTCATCTAATATGTTGTTTGCAGCTTCTACGAAGACATCGAAGGATAAATGTTAACCAGAGTTCCCTTGGTCATAAAGAGGTTCCAGCTGTGGGCCGGTTTACTCTGTCAAAGGAACGCTTTCAAACTGGAGAGATATTATTCCAGCCCTGTATTGCAGGAGTGTAAGTCTGTAAATAGCAGCTTCAATAAAATTGTTTCTCTCAAGTATGTAAAGAAAATGTAGAATGTTTATAAGTTATATCTTTGTACAAGTGAAATAACCTAGATTAAATTCTAGAGAACAATGTCAAACTATATTATATTTAATTTTAATGTTTATAAATTTTAATTTATTTTGTTGTTAAAATTTATGGTTGTTATTTATATAAAGTTACATGATATTAAATTTAGGTGATGTAGAGAAGAAATGAAATATGCAAAATATCAATTAATCTTAGCTAAAAAATGGTAATTACCGACGTTTGTATCTAAAAACGCCGCTATAGATATGACCTTTTGAAGCATTTGTAACAAAAAAACGCCGCTATAGACCTGATCTTTTGCGGCGGTTGTACCAAAAACGTCGCTATAGACCTGACCTTATGCGACGTTTGTATAAAAAAACGCCGCTATAGACCTGACCTTTTGCGGCGTTTGTATAAAAACGTCGCTATAGACTTGACCTTTTACGGCATTTGTATACAAAAACGCCGCTATAGATCTGACATTTTGAGGCGTTTGTATCCAAAAATGCCACTATAGATCTTGACTTTTTGTGGCATTTTTATTTCACAAACACCGCTAACATTAGCGGCGCTGGTATGGCCGGCGCTTCTTGCTGAAAATAACAGTCAAATTTGAAGAAATATCTCATGCCAAGTTGTCAATCGGTCATAATTTAAGCTAAAAAGCCCAATTTTTATAATCCTACATACAACATAATACAAGTTATGTATCTTTCTTCTAATCTCTTATTTAAAATTAAGTTCAATTTATGTACCAGTGAGTTCCGTCCATTCTATACATTCCAAAGTAGGACCAAGAAACATGTAAAAGTATCAACCCCAAGCGTAGCAATAGTAGAGAGAGAAACAAACGTTGCTTTGTTTTCTCCCATTTGCCTCCGCCGCCATGGTTGATTGCTAAGCTGCTTCGCCTCCTTCAAGATGATTCATGATGTCTTTGTCAGTAACGGTAGTAAGAGGATTCAATCGTCTTCTTTTAAGGAAGCATTCTTGGAGTTTGGTTCAGTGTCATATGTGTTCATTACTTTTAGAAGCAGGAGGAGATTCTGTGTTGATCTATTTTTGTGTTTGTGAGGTTCAGAAGCAAGCAGGAAGCCAATTTTGCGGTCCTTGGGGCAGATGGAAGGTTAATGGAGGGCTACAGTTTTAAAGTTTATCTTGTTTTTTTTCGGAATAAAAAAACATCTGATATGTATTTGGCATTTAGGTGAATAGGTCGTGGATGCCGACTCTTAGAGTTTCCTAGTATTTCATGGTCGTTTTGGGTGGTCGGTATGATGTAGGTGGTAGGTATCAGGTTTTGGTAGCAACGATTCAACATTTTTGGATAGTAGATTCGGGTGCAGTTTTCCTTGTCAGTTTTTTGGAAGCTTGCTCCCCTTCCTCTTGTCGGTATAATCAAGTTGTAGGTTCGAATATAACGGGGGTTAGTATTAGGTTCGATCTGCTGGTGGTTATCCAGTTTATGGGGCCATGAACCGTATTTCATGCTGGAATAGTAGAGATGTATGGCTTTGATTATGGTTTTGTCGATCTGGGAACTTGTGGGGTCATGCTCTTTCTTGCCTTGAAGCAACAAGTATTAGTGTCAGTTTTTTTGAAGCCAAATTGTTTTTATGGTTCCAGAGATTTGTTTCTGTTATATTTAATGGTTGGGTTTTTCCATCATATTTCTTTCGGAGGTTTATGAAGTAGATAGAGAGTTCATTGATGGCCTTTGGGCCGGTGATGGAGTGGAGAACTCAGCTGTTGATGGTGTTGAGTTGCTTTCTAGGTTGTAGGAGGGTCCCGTTGAAGTTGTTGGCTTCGAGGTAGTGGTTTTTGAAGTTAGTTTATGTGAAGCACTATCTTAGTGGTGTGGTGATGGAGTTTTGTCATGCTGTTGGCCGCATGTTATTCCTTTAGTGGGTAATAAGGAGGTTGTCAGCGATGCTTTATTCATTGTGCCCATACTGTCTCTTGATGGGCATTTTTCTCTGTTATTGGATGCTAGTTCCGGTCATGTTCAGGGTGTTGTTGCTGGTTCATTTTGGTGCTAAGGTTCATCTCACTGGTCCTCTTTCATATTTTATCCATGAGCAACAAATGAAGGATATTCAGGAAGAAAATCGAGCTTTTTCTGATGGCTCGTATTCTGGTAGTGATACGTGGTGTTCAGGTGCTGAGGTAGCAGTTGAGGGTCCTTGTTCCGAAGAGGTATGAGCTAATTAAGTTGATTCCCCGATAGTTCGTAATGGGGTAGTTGCGAATGGTTTTGGTTGCCAGATGAGTGGCATTTTATGCGTTGGAGGTAGTTATTAGGGCGCTTGTGGGGTCTGAGGTAGAATTGTGTGATACTTTCGATGAAAATGTGTATGTGCAAGAGATGCCGATCTTTGATTCCCCAAAAGTCCATTATAGGGTAGTTGCGTATGGTTCGGTTTGCCAGAGGTGTGGTTCCTTTATCTCTTCAGAGGTTGTTAGTGGGGTGCACATGGGCTTTGAGTTGGGATTGTGTGATGTTACTAAGGGTTATGCGTATGTGTAAGTTGTGCAGCTCATGGCTTCTGACGATAGCAGTAGGCGCTTGGCTTTATTCAGAAATGTGATCTATGGCAGACTGGTTTGCTGTTCTATAGGATTGTTTACGTTGTTTTTTGCGTGCTTGTTGAAGATCTATGAAGCCTTGGTGTCATGTAGTGTTTATCAGGTTGAGTGAACCTGGTTCCTGCTACGTTTCGGTCACTCCCCATCGATGCTGTTTTGTTTGTAGTTCAGTTTCAGTTGTCCTTTCTGTTCTTATTTCTTTAAGTTGATTGGATAGTATGGGTGTTTGTGTAAGTTTTGTTGTGGTTTGGGGTATGCATTTCTTGATGTAAGTGTTCCTTGTATATGATCTCTTCCACCTCTAGGTTTACTCTTTTTCCTTCATTTAGGGTTAGAGAGGTTTTTTAATGAGGGCCTTGAGGTGGCTTACTTTGTATTAGCTTATAATACAAAGTATCATCTTTCAAAAAAAAAAATTAAGTTCAATTTAAAGGTCAAATTCTATAAAAAAAAATTTGTGTATATGTAGATTTAATTGTCCTGTTTTATTTTAGGTAAAGAAAACAAAGGGTCCCTAAACTATAAGTTATTATTTTGTTAAGTTTACTGACTATTAAAAGTTAAATGTTATATTGACTATAAAAATTACAAAATAGTCACTTGATTTTTATTTTATTGTTTTGTTGCTTTGTTTTGTTGAGTCACTTGACTATTAAAAATTATAAAATAGTCACTTGATTTTTATATGTTCCAAACTCGTTGTTTTTTGTTAAAAAAATTGGCAGTCCTCTTAACTGGACGTTAATATGCTTACTGAGATATGATAAAATCTAATCTCTTAACTGTTTGAGTTATATTTTGTGGATCGGGTCTTTGCTTATATTATGTCATTGAGTCAGTGCTTGAATCATTATAACGTTGAACCAATGCTTTTAAGCAATGTCGGTGCCATTAGACATCATTAACATATGATTTTATCATGTCTCAATCAGTATATTAACGTCCAACTCAGACGACTGTCAATTTTTTTAACAAAAAATGATGAGTTTGGAACATATAAATAATTGGACGACCATTTTGTAACTTTTAATAATTAATGACTCGGCAAAACAACACTTTATAGTCAAATATCATTTTATAATTTTTAAAAATAAGAGACTCAACAAAATAATATCGTATAATTGACGGACCATTTATCCTGTATCACTTAACTAGGTTAGATTTCTAGCCTGAACCGAAGAACCCATGAAACTCACTTTAAAAATCCCATGAAACATCAACACAAAATCTAACGATTTCGGAGAATTTTGTAACCTTCTCGAGTCTGGAATATTCGTACAAAACCTCTAAAGTAAAAAATATTTGTTCAAAGAGAATAACAATATATCTTGAAATTAGTTTTGTTTGACGTTCACTAAAGGATATCATACAATAGAAGGTCAAAGTTTTCACTTAATTAAAAAAATAAATGGGAAGAAGAAATAAGGGTTAAAACAAAATATTTTTAATATCATAAAATGATGAACGGTGATCGATAATAGGTAATAATCGAACGAAAATGATTACCATGGTTTTCAGAATCGGACTGGTTAGCGAATCGATCATGCTACCGGTTCACTGTTTCAATCGGTCGAACCGGTCCGACCGGTCGGAAGAACCGAACGACGTCATAATTATTTAAAAAATTAAATAAAAAATACAAAAAATATTTAATAAAAAATAATTTTTTATATCACAAGTCATATTCAAAGCAAGTCATAACATATATAAGTTAAAAACCATAAAATCAAGTGAAACAAAATGATTCAAATTAACTACAACATAATATTTAAGGTAAAACATATTAAATAATAAATATAACTATATAACTATAATTAAAAAATAAATTTGGGGTTAAAAAAATCATAACAAAATGATATTGTTTGGTTTAATTTTTTTTAAAAAATAATCTCACATTGCTAAGAAACATAGAAGAACATCCCAAAAGTCTAAAGAGTAAAAATATGAGAACAAAACAATCTCACATTGCTAAGAAACATAGAAGCGCATCACAACTAACTTCTATAAATAATAGAGGTAATTTGACATTCAAAATCATAGAACATTTTTGTGAGCATTGAGTGAACTATTCTTTCACTTCAATCAAGCTCGAATTTTAGGCTTCAATCGAGCTTCTAATTTTTTTTTGAGTTCAAGTTTCAATATTATATTTCGAGTTTGAGTTGAACTTGATAATTTTTAGCTTGTGAGTTTGAGTTGAGTTGAGCTTACTTTTAAAGTTTTCAAGTTCGAGTCGAGCAGCAATACTCGAGTTTGACTTGGCTCGTTTAACAAACGACGTTGTTTGGTTTAATTTTTTTTAAAAAAAACAAAAATCCCGGTTTTCCCGGGTTTTTCCGGTTTTCAGCCGGTCCGGTTCGAACGGTTCAACGGTTCTGGCCGGTTCACTAATAGCGGTTCAACCAGTTTAGATTGAACCAGACTAAGCAAAGATTTCCGATTGAACCGGTTGAACCGGTCGGTCCGGTCCTATTTTCAAAACAGAGATGATTACAGAAGAAATGTTATGGTTTTCGGGGGAAAAGGAAAAAATATTACATCATCATGTTATTAACTATTTAACGATTATATAAATTTGAAATTTAACTGAAATTGATTCAAGTGTTAAGTAATTATATATTGTTTAAATAAAGTTTCGAATTTAAATTTTTGTGAGTAAAAAATCGGTCCGGATTAGTCAAACCTTAAAACCGAGAGGGAAAAAATGAGCTTGACAAACTTAATTCTATAATTATAAATTGGGTTAATTACATAATTGATTATTTATGTTTATGTTTTGTATAATTTTCCTCATTGATTTAAAAAAAACATAATATATAGTCACTTTCGTTTTTATTTAATCAAGATATGATCATCATGAGTTAACTCTCATCAGCAGTTAATATATTAGGAAATGTGATATTTTGGTATAATTACACATTTGGTCTATATTATTTACATATTATCTTATTTAGTCCCACTTTTAATAAATTAAAATAAATTTAATCCTCAAATCAAATGAGACCATGTGTCACTGGTGTCATGTGTCGTGACACATGTTACCATTCGATCGGAGGATTAAATTTATTTTAATTTATTTAAAATATGATGAAATTGATAAAACATGTAAATAATAAGGACTAAATGTGTGATTATATCAAAGTATTTAACAACAATTAACTCTCAGTGATCACATATTAATTAAATAAAAACGAAAAATTATCAAATATTATATTTTTTTGAAAGCTATTAGAAAAATAGAAAATATATACATAAGTGATCAATAATGTAATTAATCGTTGTGATTTTTATAGTTAAAAGAGAAATGAGATCAAAGTTTACTGATTAATATTGTAGTTTACCCAAATTTAAATGGAAGAAATTGTCACCCGTGCGTGCCACGCAATTAAAGCCAGCAAAACTGAATTGCCGAGTCGCATTTCTTCCCTTTTCTGTTTTCCGACCCTTAAACCCTCTCTTTCCCTAGAAAAACGAAAAGGGAAAGTAAATCTAATGGCCACCAGGCTCGCCCTCCGTCTCAGATCCCATCTCTTCTGCAACATCCTCCGTCATAATCCCCCAGCTCCAGCCACCGTCATATCTCCGCCGTCGATCTCCCATCTCGCGCCACCTCCCATCGCCACAATGAACCAGTTCTTCGCATCCACCACCATCCGCTTGCTCTCCACTTCCACGCGCCGCGTCCCCACCAAACCTAAAAAGGTCGACATCGGGGCCCGAGCCCGCCAGCTCCAGGCCCGCCGTCTCTGGACCTACGCCTTAACCTTCGGTTGCGTAGCGGGATTTGTAGTTTTAGTTCTCAACAATTTTCAAGATCAATTAGTTTTCTACGTTACGCCAACCGACGCCCTCGAAAAATACACGAAAAATCCTTCGAAAACGAAATTCAGACTCGGCGGTCTGGTTCTGGAAGGAAGCGTGGTCCAGCCGGGTTCTTGTAAAGAAATGGAGTTTGTTATTACCGATTTGATAACCGATATTTTGGTTCGGTACGAAGGTTCGCTGCCGGATTTGTTTAGAGAAGGACATTCCGTCGTGGTTGAAGGATTTGTTAAGCCGTTTACTGAAGAAATTAAAAGGGACGTTTCTTCTAGGAGCGTTTCTACGAAAGCAAGGAGCGGCGACTGTTATTTCTCGGCCACCGAGGTTCTTGCCAAGCATGACGAGAAGTATATGCCTCAAGAGGTTGCAGCCGCCATTGAGAAGAACAAAAAGATGCTTGAAGAAGGAGCTAAGGAATCGATGGTTTGATATTGGTATGATTGACAATTTTTCTAGTGGTAATACTTTACTTTATATGGAGGCTTATTCATTTTGATTGGAATTTTTGTAAGCCTATCGGCTGAGATTGAATCATTGAATAGATGTAGAATTAAATTTTTTTAATGGAATTATAATACCATAGTGAGGAAGAGGATGAAATTGAAACATCTGAGGCCTTTTGCTTCTTTTAATTCTGTTGTTGTACTGCCACAAGTGTGGTTTTTACATATCTTTGAATAATGCATCTCAGAATTTACATTTACTGTTTGATGGATGGATTTGCATGCATCTCAGAATTTAAATTTACTGTTTGATGGATGGATTTGCTCTAGCATGTTAGTCATTCTAATGTTATTGCAGGCAAAGCAAAATGGGTTTTACGCAACGATTGGTAGTTTATTTTATTGGTCTTTGAATGATAGTGTTAGGCAATTAATGCAAATTTACATAGATTTCTGTTTGTTCATATTAACAAAAAACTGATAGTGTTAACCTGGTAGTTTGTATGTTCTATTACGTTGAGGATTCATTATTCTCTATGGAGGTTATCTTTTATAATTTGAAACAGATATTCTTGCTTTCTGCTTTGTTCAATGTTGATTTCTTCTAGGTGATTGTTTCTTAGTAATCTTTTCTATGTCTAGTGATAATTCTGTCCAAGGTTTATGAATCATGGTTGTATAGATTGACGAGTATGGATTTTTTGGTGAATGATGCAAAATTATGATAAGTAGAATCACTTTTGTTGGATATTATAGGGCATAATGTTACAGCATCAACAATTCTAGATGTTAAGAACTGCATCATACATTTAATTGGAACAGATTCTCCATTTTGCCAATATGAGAAGGAACTTTTTTTTTTTTACTTTTTGCCTAGCGTATCAGGTACAAGTGCAATCCTTCTCTCCCACTTACAAAGGGAACTTGAATCGTTAGCTTACATATTCTAACCATGTTTGTCTTAGGGGATGAATGAGCAGCTGGCGTATGCCATGGTAAGTTACTGACTACTGCCTTGATTGTTTTCTCAGTGATCTAAACTCCTCGGTAGACATGATTTCTCATTAATTTCTTGGCATCTATAGGGCTGATTGGCAATAGTGTTGTGAGGGTATGATTGAAATCAGGTTTATGATTGAAATACTTGTAGTTTATAGATTTAAGTGCAGGTCAGATATGATGGTGGTGGAAAGATGGATGATATCTGGAGAAGAGATGACAGTGAGGCGATAATATGGTTCTAGTTCAGTGTCAATGGCACCCGTGTACCGAATATCGCAGTGGTTGTGACGCATAATTGATGTGGATAATCTGTTTCTACCTTTCCTGTGAGGAAAGTAAAATGATTAACCGAATTGAGACAAATCATACTTGCCAATCATCGATGGACTGGTCGGATTAATCAACTAAAGTTAGGTTTGGTCATGTATTGAATAGAAACTAAAGACTTTTGATTGAAGAATAGTAAAAATTCATAATAAATTCTGTGTCAAAGAGTAATTCCTCCTAGATAATAAAACATGTTAAACGTGAGGATTGAGGAACATATGTACTCGATATGCCGTCTGCAATTGCTTGAACCTTGAGGTGTTCATCAAATTAACCAGACTTTATTGAGATAGGTAAATCTCCCATTGAGAACCATATACAACTAACAGAAACATCCTAGTGATAGTTGAACCTTTGTTTATTTAGGGTAAATTATACCGGTAAATCTTGAACTTTTAGGGTGTGTGTATTTTGATCATTTAAAACTTACGATAATATCATTAAATTTTTACTTATGGCCATTGTCGTTAGTTGTGCCGTTCAGAAAAATTGACCTAACACATTCAAGTTTATTTATTTTTTTAATTTAATTTCCTTTAAAAACTCACAAGTTTACAAATTGAAATTTGTCACAAAGGGTGAGTTTTCAATGAAAAGAGTGGTAGTCGGCTAATCGGAGAAGTTCTATTTGATTGAAAGATTAGTATCGTTTAGTTTCAAGTTGAACTGATGATTAATGTGATAAAATATAAAATATTATCTTTTTGTTTTGATTGAGCTTTGAGGAGATCGAAAGATTTTATGTATTGAGAAAGAAAAAGAAAAAAAAATTGTCTAATGTGACATGATCGGAAGAATGCTACATAGTGACAACACATGTGATTCAATCGATAATCATCAATTTGAAAGACATTTTGAAATTTAAAATTTCTTTAGGGTTATTGAAACTTTAACTTGTTAGCCAGTTTTTTTTAGAAGAAACTGTCAACTATAACCATAATAATAGCGAATTTGAAGCTGTAAATTTAAAAATTTTGGTGATTAAAATACAAGTATTTTAAAAGTTTAGGGATTACTATTATAATTCACCCCTTATTGTAGACTAATAATAATTTTAGGGTAAACTACAGATTTAATACTTAAATTATCAATTTTAATAAGTTTTAGTACTTAAGTTTCAAAAATTTCAAAACCACGCATAACGTTTAGTTTTTATTTCATTTTAGTACTCACCGTTAAAAACTTAACACATTTAGTACCAAAACTATTAGTTTTGGTCCATTTTAGTGCCTAAACTTTCATTTCTTTTTAGAACTTAACGTTAAGTTTTTAACATGTATTAAAACGAAACAAAAACTAAACGTTAGCGTGACATAAAACGATCTGGTTCCCTCTCCATATTCCCAAGCATGCTATCATTGGATGGATGTCCATTCTTGGGAGGCTTCCCACCAAAGGTAGGTTGATGCAAAGTGTGTGTTTTGTGACTGTCTTGAGACTAGGAATCACTTGTTTTTTGAGTGCTGCTTTTCAAGAGGTATTTGGGAGGCTACGTTGGATAGGTGCAACATCCGTCGAGCAACGATGAGTTGGGAGGCTGAGCTTGCTTGGGCTTCGACTTATCCTAGAGAAAAATCTCTTATCTCTTTTATTCTTAAAGTGGTTCGTAATGCTTTGATTTATTGTGAAAGAAATGCAAGGTTGTTTAGGGGTGTTGAAAGGAATCAATAGTCTGTTTTTGTTGTTATTTGTGATAGACGGGGTTTTATGATAGATTGGTTGTAGCAGATTATATGCTTTTCTTAGATAAATACAATTTTACATATCCAAAAAGAAACCCCTAAATATTAGGTATAATTTTTTTTAAAAAAAAAGATTAAATATTAAGGTAGATCAAAACTAATAATTTAAATATTAAATGCTTAATTTACTCCAAGTTTTAATCGAACACACAACAACAACAAAACCCTATTTTCATATGCAATGGGATAAGGGGAGGTTGGTTAGTAAGTTGCCCCCAATACCAAATTGAGAGCAGCGTCCGTGGAAGACCTCCGACAATTCAGAAAATTAAAAATACAGATTAAATACAATCCATATATAAATAAATAAATTTTAATCAAACACAGAACTTCATAATATGGGATTTTGAAACGACACCGTTCAAACTATTGGGCTGATGAAACAAGTTTTTTAACTTTGGCCCTGGGCCTAGTTTTAAAGTCCCAGCCTTTTAGCTGACTAACCTCCAATGCTTATTTATTAGGGTAAAGTATAATAATGGTTACTGAATATTTTTAAAGCTTACATTTAGGTCCTCTAACTTTTAAAACTTGCAATACAATCCCCCAATATTTATTCCGTTTGCAATATGGTCCCAACTTAAATCACTGTTAGAAAATTAGGGTAAATTATATAAACGGTCATTGAACTTTTTAGGCACTTGAATTTAGGTCCTCAACTTTTAAAACTTGAAAAACAGTCCCCAATAATTTTATTTTCTTATTAAATATAGATGTATAGAAAATATAAATGATTCAATTTATATTTAAATGTATGAATCATTTATATTTTTGATATATTTTATTTTTCTTGTATAAACTAGTATTTAAAATATGTTTATATTTTAATCAAAATATTTCAATATACGAATAAAAATATATTTATATAAATGTATATTTATATTTAGATGTATAAATAAAAAAATATATTCATATATTAATGTATGAATCATTTATATTTTTTGAATATTTTATTTTTAATAAGAAATTAAAATTATTAATTATATTAGAAATACTCAACTTAAGATTATATATATAATCGTGAATTATAAATATGAAAAATATAATTATTAAATTTAGTTTAAAAATATATAAATCTTAAATTTATTCTTTTAAAATATTGTATCAACTAATATTTAAAAAATATATTAAATCTATCAAACAATTTATCAAATATAATATTTTTATTGTAAAAAAATATAATATTTTCCCATCATTTATTGCTTTCAAATTTTTTGCCGAAGTTCAAATCTCATTATTTCCATTTTCCATTATATTCTTTTTTTTCTAGCATTGGTCATACTATTAGTATATATATTATTGTATATCTCTTAACACAAACGATAGTGTTAGCTTAGTGGCTCCACCCTGTATCTTTCATTTGCGTGACTCAGGTTTGAGTTTGCCCAAGACCCAAATTTTACTTCTTTATAACTTAATTTTCTTCTAATTAGGTGGTGACATGTGTCACCAATAACATATATCATGATCATGTGTTAACACATGTCAGATCCTGGTTAAATGATTAATTTATTAAATTTTATTTAATTTAGGACCAAATTGATAGCATATATAAATAATTAGGTGGTGACATGTGTCACCAATGACACGTGTCATGATCATGTGCTAACACATGTCAGATCCTAATTAAATGATTAATTTATTAAATTCTATTTAATTTAGGACCAAATTGATTATATAAATAATAAAGACTGAATGTATAATAATGTCAATTCCTTTTAACTGTCACTTCATCATTTGTATCAATTGGTAACGACTAGTGACTTAGTTGAAACAGTTAAATAATTATGTTGTATGATTGATAAATTTAAAATATCGATGACAAAAGTAAAAAGGGCTAGATAGTTAAGTTGTCAACCTAGTAGTTTACACTTTTATTTATACGTCAAAATAACATTTTATAAATTTAAAATTCGAATTATTTTAAACCTCTTCTATATCCTAACTACTTTTTTTAATTAAAAAATTTCTTCAACAGATAAGAATTATACTATTATATTTATATAAAAAATACGTATCACATGAAATAAGATGAAATTAAATAATAATAAATCTGACATAATTGAAGTTAATTGAATTATTTTGGAATTTAGGGTTTAGAATGAAATTGAATTACTTTGGAAATTAGGGTTTAGAATGAAATTGAGGACTGTTTTGCATGTTTTAAAAGTTGGGGGACCTAAATTCAAGTGTCTGAAAAGTTCAATAACCTTTATATAATTTACCCTAATTTCTAACGGTGGTTTAAGTTGGAGACCATATTGCAAACGGAATAAATGTTAGGGGGCTGTATTGCAAGTTTTAAAAGTTTGGGGACCTAAATGCAAGCTTCAGAAATGTTCAGTGACCATTACTATACTTTACCCTATTTATTATATATTCTCGGCCGCCGTCGTCGTCTTCCTCAATCGCGTAAATTGCAATTGTATTATTATAATAATCGATTTGCTTCCTCCCGTCTTATTGGGTAAATCAACAATCAAATACTCCAAGCTTCTGTTGTTCCCAAATGAGAAATCCCAACGCCAAAAGAGAAGAAACAACCCACTGCGAGGCAAGATCAGGAGGGATGCTGGTCCAGCGGAGAGACCACCATGAAAACGACGACGTATTCATCAAAACCGCGATCAGGGATCTGCTTCGGCTTCTTCTGGAGGGCCCATGATTGCCCATGGCTCGGGCCAGCACCAGCTCTATGCCTCTGTCCCCGCCCATTCTGCTTTTGGTAATTTCCTTGTACCTTCTTTGTTCTTTACAGCTGCACATAGAGCAAAAAATAATAAAAAAAGATATATACTTTTTCTATTTGGATAATTAGTATATTCGTTTCGTGATGCATTCGTATGTTAATTGTTCCTGCGGGATTTAATTGTTGCTTTTGTGTTGTGGATAACGAGTGAAGAGTAATTAGGGTTTTGTCTTTTGTTTTATGCCTTTCTTATGGGTCTCGGTGCTTCAACTCCTAAAGCATCTTCTGGTATTATTAATTTATATTCCTATTCCTTTTATTGTGTTTGTAAACGGTTTTTAGTTTTGTGTGAACTTAAAAAATTAGTTATCGTTTGTTTCTATTATCTTTTTGATTGTTTGATGGATGTTTTCAACTTGGTAAAAAAAGATATAATTTCCTGTTATGAACTGTAATCAATCTACTATGCTAGGTAATCCTGCAAGCAATGATGACAAGGTTGAAGAGAGGAAGGAAAGTGAAGAAATGTCGAAGGCCTTTGAGGCGGTTGCTGGAGTCAGAAAAGAAGTCGACAAGCTTTCCGAAAGAGTGAGTTTCTCTGTATGTTGTTTTCGTTAGTATGGAGTAACGGACGGAGAGGCCTTATACTCATTCAAGGCTTAAATTGAATTATCTCCATCTTTTCTGGGTTCTTTTGGATAGGTTACTGCTCTAGAAGTGGCCGTGAACAGTGGGACAAAGGTTGCAAATGAGGAATTTGATGTATCGGCAGAGTTACTCATGAGGGAGCTGTTGAAATTGGATGGAATCGAGTCTGAAGGAGAAGTGAAGTTACAGCGGAAGGCCGAGGTTTGTATTGTAGGCGCTGTGGTTTACTAAAATCTGTTTGTGGACATTTTTTTTGCATATTGCATTGTCGTTCTTTCGTTTCCACTTATTAATTGCATCGTTCGTGATGTAAATATTATTGTCCATATGGATGAGCATTGATTATGTGTTTATATTCCTTTATCTAAGGCTATTTGTTTAACTGTATTATTTGTTGTTGGATAGGATTTTGAAATGCCATGACCATTTAGAGTTGTTAGCTATTTGAGGTGAATCAACTTGAACCTTACCCCGACTTATTTGGTTATTGGGATATGGGTAGTGTAAGTCTCATCTTTTGGATTTTAATACCAGTCAAAGGCAACGCTACATGAGAAAAGAAATATAGGACTGCTGTTGTTTGACATTCTTTCAAACTGCCAATGGAATATATCGAGTCCTCGGTTCCTTGTGGTGTTCTCTTTTGGGATTGCCGTTTGTTTTTGTGGCATCGATGTTTCTTTTTTGCACCTCCTATAAGTAGAATACTGCTAGTCGTCCTTGGAATCCTTTTGTTGGTGATGCTGGAACTTGCTACTTCCATAATAATCAAGCACTGGCAAACCCGCTAGTTGAAGAATGTTTTTGGCTATAGTCTTGTTCTCCATCATGTTAACCCCGACGTAAGCATGTACTCATGGCAACATACTATTCATGCGTGATTCAGCAGAGCATCATCTCTTGCTTTCTGCTGAAAGAGGAAAGGGTTTTATGCAGTTTGTAGATTAGGCAATGTAGAGCGGGATCATGTTTCAAGCATTAAAAATTGCAAGCTCTGTATCTAGCCGATAAATTATTGTAGATGCTAATGCACTCTATGCTGTTGTATAAACTAATTACACCCTTTGATCAGGTACAGCGTGTCCAAAACTTCCATGACACTCTCGATAAATTGAAGGCGAGAAATTCCAATCCTTTTAGCGACAAACTGAAAGCTGTAAAAGTCGCAACAAACTGGGGGACTTTTGACTCCAGGATGGGAAACTTGACCGCCCCTCTGCCTACGTCGTCTTCAACAAATGTAACACGGGATTGGGAACGGTTTGATGATTAGTTAATATTTGCTCTGAGATGGATCCAGCCATGTCATCTTGGATTTGATTAGTTAATATTTGCCTAAATTTTTGTGGAACTTGATATATTAGGTCTCATATGCCATGGTTGATTTAGCCACTACTAATTATATTTTATGTTGTTAAACTCTTATTAATTGATCGTCTCTCTTATAGATGTATGTCGTCGACTGAAAAAGAATAATAACAGTACTTAGTCATTAATTCCGATGTATGAGTTTTTTTTTTATCCACTCATCACCTGTTTATCATTGTTGGTGAGATTACATCGTCTCCTTCATTCGCCACTTGATAGATTCTTTTAAGAAATTTATTTAAATATTTTTAAAAATTATAAAATTAACATTTTGTAAATTAATATTAATTAGAAGTTAATGTCAGTAACAAACAATCATTTAGATATATATATTTATTTATAATTAATTTAAAAGATTACATTTTAAGGTTTGAATTCGAACTCACACAGGGTAAAACAACGTATAAACCGTTAACTATTCAACCAATTAATTTAACCTAAATCAAATAATACAAGTAGTGGCATGCCACAGTGGTAACCGTCTCCATCGTCAAAACTCAACAACCTAGTATACGTGAAAGCAATCCCACACCACGAAGATGATATCTACAACAAATATTTCACCACTTAATTTCTTAACTTTCGCAAGTTGCAACTAGAGATTAATGGTTACTCCACTTGCGGCATCGGCAGAACGAGAAGGTGCCGTCACCTCCGAGTACGAAGCCCTATGCCAACCGTGCCTCGTCGTGTCATATTTTCTCCATCGCCCCAAAGAGCACACGCATTCTCTCCCTGGACGGCGTTGTCTCCGGTCTCGAGTTGTTTATCGGGCATCCTTAACGGCATAAACATCCATATTAGCAGAAGAATTATAGTGGTTGACGCTACGTTCCAAGCAGCAACAAACAAGGCAGCTATTATTTGCTTCTTGGATTGAGTCCCTCCATTCCCACCATAAAATGCACCCCTTGTGTCTCTCGGTAGTATGAGCCTGCACAGATCTGGCTCCGCCAACAGCCCCGTGAGGAGGCCGCCCAACAACCCGGCCACCGCGTGCGTGTGGAACACACCGAGAGTATCATCTACTTGTGAAATATATCTTACTTTATTTGTTTATCAATGGTAATATAAAACTAATGAATTCTTAACACACAACCCAGTGGATTTTTTTTAATTAAGACTGGGTTTTCATATTATAAAATTTATATTGTTTTTAAATATTAGTCAACATTGATGTGCTTTGGCTATTGAACAATGAAGATTGGAAACATGATTAAATAATGCTCACAAGTCATGAGTCATTTCCAGCAATGAAAGCCACATGAGTGTTAAAACCCCAGAAGTGGCGTCAATCTGGTCATTTTGCTCCTTGTAAACCATGACTTTAAGCAAGGAGGAAAATAGGTAAAAAGGGCGAGCATAACGTTTATTTCGGTAGGATTCACTAATCTGCAGCTGCGTTAACAAGCAGCTTCTGGAGAGCCCATTACATTAAAAACTAGGGTAAATTACGCATTTAGTACTTAAACTAGAAGTTTTGATTCGTTTTAGTATCTAAACTTTCATTTTTTTCAAAATCATATCCGACATTTAGTTTTTTGTTTCATTTTAGTACTCCACCGTTAAAAACTTAACACGTTTAGTACCTCAACTATTTAGTTCATTTTAGCACCTACCTTTACATTTTTTTCAAATCTTAACGTTAAATTTTGAACGGGGTATTAAAATGAAATAAAAACTAAATGTTAGGTCTAATTTTAAAATAATGAAAGTTTAAGTACTAAAATGAACTAAAACTGATAATTTAATACTAAATTCATAGTTTACCCTTGAAAACTATTAGGTTTAGATCAAATGCCCATCTCTAGACATGGTCAAACCATATCATGTAATAACTGAATCAAGAGCCGGAAATGATGGGGTTGGTGTCACAGTGACTCCCGGAACCGTTGCACATGTGACAACTGGAGGTTAGTTTTCTTATTCTTGTTATTATGTTGACAAGAACAGGACCTGTTATCTTCTGTTTTCTGGCAGCAACCGTGAACCACCACGGAGAATCATCCCGGACCTGCTCTTCTAATAAAACCGCCAACCCGAATCTTTAATTTGTAGACCATGTAACTTTTGTTGGTGGGTAGACTCGATGTGGAAAATATGATGAGAATAATGAAACAAGGGTATAAATGAAACTTGAATGAGGAGACAGTTTTTGTCCGATCGCTTACCTGTTGTAGCCAACTGCATTTCTTGTGAAGAATCATCATTGTTACCCAGGGAATACTGCCCGAAAGTATTCTCATTACAATTGCTGCCCACGATTGCACCAATTCTGCGCCAAATAAAATCAGATGTTTTCCCAAATGTATTCATGGTTTACTTTTATAAAAATTTAGAGTAAAGTATACAATATGATATTGTTTTATTTGAATCTTTCGATTATTAGAATGTATAAAATAATCATATAATTATTTATATATTTTAAACTCGTTCTTTTCCATTAGATGTTCACAGTTGTATTAGATGAACGTTAACATATTGACTGTGATATGATAAAATCATATTTTAATGATGTCTACATAGGATTGGCACGAGACCCAAACCTGACGGGTTCTGACCCGACTCAATTCAATCGAGTTATTTTTTAAAAAAAATTCAGGTTTGAATCGGGCTTGGATTTAGGGTAAAAAATACCCGACCAAAATCAACTCGAAAAATAATGTAAATTTACCTTATATGGGATAATTACAATAATAACCCTCTATATATTGTTATTATTATTATTATTATTATTATTATTATTTAGATCATATTTTTATTGAATAAAAATAATATTTTTTTTAATAAATTTACTCTTATTTATTTTGGGTCGGATTCGTGCTTTATCCCAAAAAATCATGTCGAGTTTGGGTTGGGTGAAGTCACTCTAAACTTGGGTTGAGTTTCAAGGGGAGAGTATATATTTTCGGGTCGAGTTTACCCAAAGCTTTATTATTAATATTATTCATGGTGTCAACTAAAAATAGTCCTTACTAAGATAGCTTTTTCCCACATAATTACCATTAGGAGTAAGCACAAGCTTATCAGATTCAAACACAAGTTTAATTCCTTCCTTATTCAAGAGTCCACCACTAATAAGATTTCTACGTAAAGTAAGAACATACATAGCATTATGTAAAGCCAGAGTTTTGCCAGAAGTAAGTTTGAGTAAGATTTTTTCTTTACCGAGTATTTCTGAAGTGGTGAAATTTCCCATGTAAACTTGTTCACCTTCAACTACATCTTCCAAGTCAGTGAATATTTCTCTATTAACACATAAATGTTTGGAAGCACCATTGTCCACATTCCACTTGACATGGTTTTCATTAAGTTAACTTCAAAAATCACGACAACAATCACCTCATCTGAATCCTTCACCAAATTTACATGTGGTTTGTTTTCATTTTAGTTTTGGTTCCTGTGACGATCAGAGCGACGGAATCACTGATAGGCTTTATGTGCTGGTTTGCCACATACGTAACAACTTACCAACTTGTAGGGTTTATGGTTCACTCTCGATTTCTTGAAGTTGGTTGACTTCTTAGAACGAGAAATGTCATTTTTTAGGATTAACAGAGTTCCAAAAACTGTTATTTCTAGGACCAGAAGATTTCACCAAATTTTGCTTAAAAGAAAATTCATTTTTAAAGACTAAATCCTTATCTTTGAGGCAGTTCGTCTCTTTTATCTTCATGTGACATATTAATACCTCTAAGGAAATGTCTTGCTTTTTATGCTTCATGAGGTTTATATAGTCGGACCTAGATTTGGGCAACTTTTCGATCAGTACATTGACTTTAAGGATTTTAAACATATTCATTCCTCCAGTAAGGATACCTGAGATCAACTTCTCATAAGCGTGAATCTATTCCATGATTGGCTTTTTTTCAATCATATGAAATTCCAACCAATCCCCAACGACATACTTATTGATTCCTACATCACTGAAACCATAATTCTTTTCCAAGTTCCCTCATATTGACTTGGCAAATTTATCTTTGATGAAAAAGTCAAAAAGATTATTGGACATGTGACTGAGCATATGACCTCTAACCAATTTGTTGTCTCTTTGAATTTGGTTAAAACGATAATGTCTTCCTCTAGTATGTTAGAAGCGTAAGCTACATCGAGGGAAGAAATTATAGCTCCAGTAATGGTAGGTGGGTTGAACATCATGTAGTTAACTTCTAGTTGTCCAAATAAGATGATCATTTTTGGGACCAACGAAGGTAATTAGACCAACAAAGGTAATTGGTTCCGTCTAGGGGCTCGAGTTTGGACAGATCGAGAATGTACTTGTTGATAGTGAAAGACATGTTGAGCAGATATAAAACTTCGCTTCTAAATTGTAAGAACTAAGTACTACAAAACAAATAAATTAGCACTAACAAGTACAATAAAATGAAATGAATAAGATGAAATTGCTACTATGTCGTGGTAGTCCATTGCCTTAGAAACGAATTCGCCCTGACCGATGTAATCGTAAAAAGGATGATCACCCCTATGTTAACACAATGCTCCCTATTTCGTACACCCAAACTAGGAAGTTGAAACTCAGTTGATTACAGTGGCGGATCTAGAAATTTATAAATTGGGGTCCAAAATTTTAATTTTCTTTTCTTAAAAATAATAGGGTGCAAACTAAATTTCACTTTTTTTCTTAAATAATGGGGATGCACTTGACCCCTAGGGGGCTTAGTGCATCAACCCCTGGTTGATTACTCTTTTCTTGAAGGCCTAAAAATATGGAAAAAGGTTAGAAGATGACCGATTTTGATCGAATAACAAAGATTTAAAAATAAAAATAAAAACTTAAAAGCTTAAGAAGATAGACGGTAATTAATAAAAGGATGCTTGTGTTGAATGAGTGAGTAAGAATAAAAACCAAGCTTTATTATATAAGTTTCATATAAGGGTAAAATTGAAAGAAAATGCGATAAAAATCCCAAAATTCTCTACCAAATTTCTTGCCAACCTCACGTTTGTTTCTTCAGCAAATTACAACAACTTTGAAAAAGTAAAAATATAATTTGTTTAACATATTTGCATTATTCACACGTTTGGTGTCTTCAGTTTAGTTATGTCCCTCGAGAATGTAATCGAGTTGCCGATGGTTTGGTGCGCTTAGCCTAGAGACTCTTTGCAAATGTTCAACGGTACCTGGAGCCCCCATTAGAAGTTTTGAATCATGTTAATATGGTTGCCCAAGGAATGAGGAATAATTAGGAGCCAAGCTCTTCCCACTGTATTAAAAATAATAATTATTTTTTTAAAAGCATTTTGATTCATAATGTTTCATTTTAGAGTAAAAAAGTTTATCCGTGGACAGAAATAACTAGTCAACGAATTGTTAACACTTCAAAATAAAGGATTTTTACCCTAAAATATCGGTGTTTAAAATCTCTCAGCTAAAGTGATTTTTTTACAATAGCTAAAGTGTTTATTTAATCCAATATTGTGGATTTTTTTAACATTTTAATAGATATATATATCTTACATTTGACGTGAAAAATAAAGATTTTCAAATGAATTAGTATTTAAAATTGGTAATTTTTCAAATTGATATTTTATTTTTTTTAATAAAAAAACTGATGTTTATATTGGTGCGTGCATGTATAATAGATGTGAGATGTATGGTATGTATATAGTGTTGTTTAAAATATTTTGAAATCATGTTAATTATATTTCTCTTAGGTATGCGTAACTTGTGTGTTGATAACTGTGTTCTAAGGTTATAATAGATGAAAAGACATGCTTGGTTGAAAGGATTATTAATATGGGAACTTGGTAAATTGCTTAATAAGACTAAATGAGTTAATAACTCAAATTATTTAATAAAGTTAAACGAGTAACCTTTTTTATGTTCACATGTGTTTATGTGTCTTATTCGGTGAAGAAGTAAGTTTTGAAGGATGGTCTTATGGTTTAAGGTTAAAAATATATTTTCGAGTACTAAAATTTGAAATTTATTAGTATTGTTTCGATATTAATTATATAATACGTTTGGTAATTTCTCAAAACGATGGGAACGCTGATGGTAATTTCATTGGACCTGAAGTATTGCTATCTCCTCAGTTGGAAAGGCCGGGATCTCCCTTCATGGATGAAGATCAACGCGCGACGAAGAAAGTTCGTAATAAGGAAGATGTTGACCGTATGGAGGAAGACCATGCTGATTTGGAGGCACAGTCGAATACAGATTTCAATGATAAGATAGCAGGGAATCAGGGAAAGCATTCATATGCTAGCGCGGTAATGGGCAACTCGAAGACGACGGTAGATGTGGTTTCGCTCAAAGCTATGGACGAAGTGGAGATCCTAGATGGTGATTGTATTGTAGACAACAATGGTTCGTATCCGGTGATCCACTTTGCAGACCAAGTTCACGATAGAATTGACTATAGCATGCGACGCTCGGTGATAGTTCGGCTTCTCGGACGTGCCATTGGTTATAAAACATTGTTGAATCGTATTGGCGTTCTATGGCAACTACAAGGTCAGTATCAACTTATTGATCTAGAAAATGACTATTTCCTAGTGAAGTTTGAGAGGGAAGAAGATTATGTACATGTCTTGATGGAAGGACCATGGACAATATTCGGGAGCTATCTGACGGTTCAACCATGGAGTCGTACATTTTCCACATTGGAAAAGCATCCATCGCAAGTTATTGTATGGGTGATATTACCAGGTATTCCCTATAGATATTATTCCAAAGCGATATTTCGTCGGATTGCTATGGTTATTGGTCAGGTTGTGAAAATTGACTATAGCATGAATTCGGGGGAGAGAGGTCGTTTTGCTCGCTTGGCGGTATTGGTGAATTTAAATAAGCCACTAATTCCATGCCTTAAGATTGATGGCTTTTGGCAAAAAATCGAGTATGAAGGTTTGCAGCAAATTTGTTTTCAATGTGGAGTGTATGGGCATTCGAAGGAAAACTGTGGTTCTGTGGAAGGGAGTACAAGACATGAAGGTTTAGCAGGCGAGCCTAGTGTGGTACCAAATAACTCGTTAGGAAGCGAAGACACTGGGTTTGGACCTTGGATGATTGCTGAAACATGTAAAAGGAGACTCGGTTTGCTATTTTAAATGAGATAAATAATGGTCAGGAAGAGGTCACTGCAATAGTTTCGGATGCACCAGCGGAAGAACATAACAAGAGGAATGGTGAGGTTTACGCTTCTCGAATGGAGAATCAGGCGAAAGGGAAAGTTGTTACGGATAGTGTACCATTGGAGGCTAGTTCTGGCAGGCGAACAAATACAAACAGGAAAGAGGATGTTGGGGATAGTCGGGCTCTTAATCAGATAAGTGTGATAGCAATGGAGGAAGGCGCGATTCCACAGGTAACGAAAAGTCGACATGTTACAGCTGGTGGGAGTCATTCAGTGGTTTCAATCTCGGATGATAGCAGGAACAATATCATTAAGAGGAGTAACCGGGAAATGGTAGTCGAAGAGAAGTGGGGGAAGGTAATAAAGGACTTAAAGTGAGGAAGAACAAAGATTTTAGTTTCTCCCCGGCAGTGCTTACGGATTGGCTGAAGAATGCTAAGGTTAATACAAAACATGACAAGGTTACGCTGCATGATGAGGGCTCGTCAGTTCAACGTGAAAACGAACATGAGGTAACACTCTCGCATGCAAAGGAGACTCTGAGTACAATACCTGAAGAAGATATTTCTCTCGAGAGGGAGAATGTCAATCCGAACCTCCCTCATTAATTGGGGTTCTCTCACTTAGATATCTTTATGGTTAATTTTCTTTTTTAGAATTATCAGGGCGCCGAAAGCCCTAAATTCAGACGTCATCTACGGGAACACTGTCGGGAGAGTCGACCTGATCTAGTAGCGTTGTTGGAAACTCGGATTAGTGGTATTAATGCTGATAAAGTCATCTGGAGATTGGGATTTCAGAATTCTTTTAGAGTTGAAGCTCATGGGTTTAGTGGTGGTATTTGGATTCTTTGGAAAGACGGGTTAAACGTGGAGATTTTGACCATTTCAAACCAATTTATTCATGGCAGATGCTGGTCAGATAATGAAAATAGATGGTTGTATTTTACTGCTATTTACGCTAGCCCACAAGTAGAGAAATGCAAACTTATTTGGAAGCACCTCACGAAACTTATGCCAGGTGAAAATGAAGCGTGGTTGCTGGAGGGTGACTTCAACTCCATTCTACAACTAGACGAGAGGGAATGTGGTTCAAGTCGTGATTCAGGGGTGAGCCAATTGTTCGTTGATTTTGTTTTTGAAATGGAATTATTTGAGGTGGATTATCAAGGGCTACAGTTTACGTGGAGAAGAGGTAATTTATTTAAACGTCTAGATCGTTGCCTTATGAATAGTTGTTGGGCTAATATTTTTCCTGGTACGATGGTGATACATCTTGGTAGAGTGGGTTCGGACCATTGCCCTCTTGTGCTAAAACCTCAGAGTAACATGAGTTTTCAGTCGACTCGGCCATTTCGCTTTATTGCGGCTTGGCAGGATCACCCTCAATTCAAGGATTTTTTGTCGGAAGTTTGGAGGAATGGTTTGGATGCGCTAACTAACGTCAATTCCTTCCAAAGTAAAGCTAGTGAATGGAATTTGAATGTGTTTGGGCACATAGGGAGGAAAAAACGCGAACTATTGGCTTGGTTACGGGGTATTGATAGAGCGCTTATTACTCGATATTCGCAACGTTTGGTGGACTTGCAACACGTGCTGGAGTATGAACTAGAACAAGTCCTTCAACAAGAGGAGAGCTTGTGGCTGCAAAAATCGAGAACTCAATGGGTTCTTCATGGTGACAAAAACACTAAATATTTCCACGCTTGTAAGATGATGAGACGTAGGCGTAATCATATGGGGGCGCTTAAGGACATGAATGGTAACTGGGTGTCGGAGCAGGCCACTCTTTGCTCGATGGCAGTGAATTTCTATAAGGATTTATTCACTAGTACTAATGAAGTTGATTATGGATATCCGTTTCAGGGATGTTTTCCTGTTCTTTCTAATTCCGAATTAAATGGACTCATACGACCGCTACTTAATGAAGAGATCCGTGAAGTCTTATTTAGTATGAGTCCGTTAAAAGATTCGGGAGTGGATGGACTACATGCGATTTTTTTCCAGCGGAATTGGGATACGGTTAGCACCAGCGTATGTCAGTTGATTCAAAGTATTTTTGCAGGAAAAGCGTTCGATAAGGATTTCAATCGAACACTCCTGGTTCTAATTCCTAAAGTTAAAGTTCCCGAATCCTTCAGTCAATATCAACCTATTAGCTTGTGCTTTGTGTTATACAAACTTGTTACAAAGATAATTGTGAATAGGCTGAAATCTTTTATGAAATTTTGGATATCGGAAAATCAAACAAGCTTTGTTCCTGAATGTTCGATCATGGATAATGTTATTATAGCGCAAGAGGTAATTCACTCCATGCGATTGAAGAAAGGTAAGGTTGGTTTTATGGCTATCAAGATTGATCTTGAGAAAGCCTATGACCGCCTTGAGTGGTTATTTGTTGAGGACACGTTAAGAGAGTTGCATATTCCAAAGAATCTTAGGAGACTTATCATGAGATGTGTTTCTTCAGTCTCGACGCATGTACTTTGGAATGGTGCTATGTCTGAATCCTTTAAGCCAACCAGGGGGTTACGACAGGGTGATCCTCGCCTTAATTGTTCGTTATGTGCATGGAGAGGTTGGCTCATGCAATCTCTATAGCTTTCAGGAATGGATAGTGGAAACCTATCCGACTGTGCCGTAGTGGTCCTGATATTTCTCATCTATTTTTCGCGGATGATTTGGTCCTGTTTGCTGAGGCGTCTATTGAGCAATGTTCTGTAATAAGGAGCATTATGGATCTTTTCTGCAGGTTCTCAGGTCAGAAAATAAACATGCAAAAAACAACTATTTTTTATTCTAAGAATGTGGATTCGGGTTTGAAGAGTTCAATTAGCTCATTATTTGGATTCCAGGAAGTTCAAAACTTGGGTAAGTATCTCGGAGTACCTCTGCTTCACTCTCGAGTTACGAGATCTTCGTTTAGTCACATAATTTCGAGAGTCCGAGATAAACTCACAGGATGGAAGGCGAAATCTTTATCTTTGGCCGGGAGGATTACTTTGGCTAAAACAGTATTATCGACTATTCCTTTCTATTCAATGCAATCTATGAAGCTTCCGAAAGGGATTTGTGATGACTTAGAACAAATAATCCGGGGTTTTATCTGGGGTCGGACTGAGGCGAGAAACGGCATATCTCTTGTTAATTGGGAGAATGTTTGTAAACCGATAAGCAATGGTGGGCTTGGCATGAAAAAGCTAATCGATCAAAATGATACTTTTCTTATGAAATTAGCTTTTAAATTGGCAACAAACTCCGACCACCTATGGATTAAAGTATTACGATCCAAGTATAGGTGGAGGAATGATTTACCTGATTCAATTGACAGCAAGAGAAGCTCGCATGTTTGGAAAGGAATCTCTCACGTGTGGAGCGTGGTGCGACAGAGTTTGGTTTGGAATATTGGTAACGGGTGTAGGGTGGACTTTTGGGGGATCCTTGGCTTAGTGATGTGGGGCCTTACATATGCTTGTAGATAATCAGTGGAGAGATTCGCACTACCAAGGAGGACGGTGGCCTCTATGGTTGATACTAATGGTCAATGGCGATGGGAGTTGATATCTAATTTAGCACCAGACAGTATTCAACAGCGGCTTGCAGCAACAATGCCACCATGACAAGACAATAGGAACGATACGTTAGGCTGGAAATGGACCGTTGATCACTGCTTTTCGGTTAAATCAGCGTATGAAAGGAGACAGGTAACCCCGGATACTAGTCCACATAAAGTTTGGAAGGTGATCTCGAAATATAGAGGGCTGCAATGGATTAAAGTCTTTTTGTGGTTAGTAGCTAATGAACGTTTACTAACCAATACGGAACAAGTCAGACGACACTTAACATCAAGCAACTGCTGTGGAGTATGCGGACAGCAGGGGGAGACTATAGATCATTTATTTCGAACATGCCATGCGGCCTTGACTGTTTGGATAACGTTAATTAAAGCTGATAAATTAGATGCGTTTCTGTCCAGGGATATACGAGATTGGTTGCAGATTAATATTGCTAATCCGGGAATCTATGCACGGGATGACTGTGACTGGGACTTACTTTTCAGTCGATACTTTGGTGATTTGGAAGAACCGTAATAGGAGAATTTTCGATCCGGATTACATCGAACAAGAGTCGATATTAGCACAAGGTAGGCGTCTTTGTTTTGAGGCTAGGCGAGCAATTGAAACAAATTTGCAAATGAATCCGTATTCGTTTCAAAGGATTAGTGTGCCTAATCATTGGACTCCGCCTCCTACTAATTGGTGCAAGGTAAATACTGATGGCTCCCGTAAACTAGGAAATGGATTTGCTACGTGTGGGGGCGTTATTCGATCTTCGAACGGTGGATGGATTCTTGGTTTCTCTAAAGTACTAGGTATATGCTCTATCGTTGAAGCAGAGTTATGGGGAATACATGAAGGTCTCTCGCATGCGTGGAATCTTGGCGAAAGACAAATTATGGTTGAAGCGGACAACTTGGAGGTCATTCGGATGCTTAAAGGAAAGACTAATAAAGGATCAGTTTTTACTTTGCTCGACCGGGTTAATGAGTTATTAAAGCAGGAATTGACGGTTACTTTGAGGCATATAAATCGGGATGTGAACAAGGTGGCCGATAAACTAGCCAATTTAGCCATAGCAAGAGGCTCGGATCATACGATTTTCTACTCTCCACCTTTGGAAGTACTTAGCTTGTTACAACAGGACTCATGTGCTTGTAATTTGATAGAATAACATTGAGTGTTAGCTCCCCTCTTTATTTCATCAAAAAAAAATCCATAAATTCAAATTTATGAAAATGATCGTTTGAATTTATTTTGATGATTTTGAATATTATAAAATTATCATATTTGATATATTAATAATTTAATCATTAAATTGATGGTGGATGATTACTTAAAAATATGACTATTTAATTTAATTTTGATTAAAAAATGGATCAATTATTGATATGAATTTTTTATTAACTTAAGATAAATACAAGATAATATTTGTTTAGAGATAACTTTCAATCATTTCATATTAAATACACACTCTTAACATTTCCAATATTCGAACCTAAAACCTCAAAAACTAATAACAATTTATTTATCACTAAAATAATTCGATTAGTACATTATTGACCTGACATCTATGTACACTAGATCTAGAGTGTTACGTAAACTATGAAAGATGTAGACGCATTGTATCTTTACAACTTGCTTATCCAAAGAAACCCATTCTTTAAAATTTCGTTTCATTAGGATGTTGTATATTTAACTAGTATTTTTGGGAGTATGTGCCTATATATGATTTGCTCACATTAAGATTTTATATAACGTGACGTGTTTGTATGTATGTATGTAATATTTAAATTTGAGACGAATTAATCAAAAAATTGACACGAAGGATAATGTTTTTCTTATATAAATTTGTATAAAAAATTGAGAATATAATAAATTGATATATAATTTTTTTATTTTTAATTAACCCTTAAATTAAAAAATGATATATAATTTAAATATAATATTTTAATTTCAATCGGATTATAATTATGATATTTAATAATATTATTATTTTAATCGTGTGGTGTCATATGGTCAATTAATTCAAAGATAAATTATACATTTAGTATTTAAATTATCAGTTTTAGTTATTTTAATATTAACACTTTCAATCTTTTTAAAATTATATCTAACATTTATTTTTTGTTTTATTTTCGTATTTCGCCGTAAAAAATTTAATGAAACTTTTCCACATGACATTTTTATGGGGTAAATTACATCATTCATCACTTAACTATCTTCTCACTCCTATTTTGGTCATTAAAGTTTAAGAATTTTCAGTTTAACTACTAAATTTTCAAATTGCTCATGTTTTAATCACTCTAATTTATTTTATTAATAATATTTTTCTACATGATATTTTTTTTATTAATATACAATTAAAATAAAAAGTAAATTTGAAAGTTAGAGTGATTAAATTAAGAGTAATTTGAAAGTTAAGTAATTAAATTAAAAAAATTAAATTTCAATGACCAAACTAGGAGTGAGAAGATAGTTGAGTGATGGATGATATAGTTTACCCATAAAAAAAAGTGCCAAATTGTAACAATTCCATTAAGTTTTTTAACGATGAGTACTAAAATAAAACAAAAACTAAACGTTGGGTATGATTTTGAAAAAAAAATAAAAGTTTAGATACTAAAATGGACCAAAAATAATAGTTTAGCTACTAAAATGTAATTTACCCTTAATTCAATTCAATTGATTATTTAAATATAATATCAATACATATATATATATATATATATTATATATATATTTTAAAAAAAGTTAAATTCAATAATTTAAAGTATAAAGGTGATCCTTAAGCATAAAAATAAATTACCAACTTTATATACCAATTTGTATAATAAATAAAAAATTTATAATGTTGCCCATAGAATAATAAACTAATAACCGGCCAAAACAATTAAGGGCAGTTATGAACGCAAGTTAAGATAGTGAACAAAGAGATGGGGACACAATGAGAGGGGAATGTCTCAGGAAAGGCGGGTTAATATACTGCTAATATACAGCATTACTGGATACATTAAAATGTATTTAATAAATTCGGTTTAGCGGTACCTATTATGTTGACAACTAATAATATTTTAGGTAGAAAATATGAAAAACTATTAAAAAATTTGGTAACCGGTAAACTTTGGTTATCGGTAAGTATCTATCCTTTTTATAAAAGTGTCCATACTTTTACCATATCAAGTAAATTTTACCGGTTTTGTCATAATGAATCTGGTTTTGTCATATTTTTACCTGTTTATTGTAAATTATCTATCATTTTTATAAAAGTGTCCATACTTATTTCACTGTGAAAATATATTTATTATTATCTTTAGTTAATATTGTTAAATTTAAAATCTAAATAATATTTTATAAAATATCAAAACAATCAAATAATTTTTTGTGTAAATGAAATTATTAAATTAATATTGTAGGTGGAAAACATGAAACACTATTAAAAAAATTGAAACATAAATTACATAACTTTCAAAAAAGTATATATTTTTATAAAAGTGTCCATACTTATTTCACTGTTGAAAACATATTTATTATTATATTTGGTTAATATTGTTAAATTTAAATTCTAAATAATATTTTATAAAATATCAAAACAATCAAATAAAATTTTGTGTAAATTAAATTATTAAATTAATATTGTAGGTGGAAAACATGAAACACTATTAAATAAATTGAAACATAAATTACATAACTTTAAAAGCAGTTTTAAATCCTAAAAAGTGTCGATACTTTTAAAAAAATATATCGATCCAAAACGATATACCAGGTAAAAATATGATAAAACCGGTAACAAAATGATAAAACCGGTAAATTTAAAAGTGTCGATACGTTATATAAGGATCGACACTTTGTGAATTTAAAAGAGAAGCAGTTATAGCGCCTATAATGTGTCGATACTTTAAAAAAATATATCGATCCACAACGATATAACATGTAAAAATATGATAAAACCGGTATCAAAATGATAAAACCGGTAAAATGATACCGGATATATTGAAAGTGTCGATACTTTCGTAAGTACGTGTAATAAATTATCAACACTTTCAAAGAAATAGATTATCCTTTCGAAAGTATCGACACCTGACATAAAAGTATCGACACTTTTGTATTTGTATCGATTAAATATAATAACATATCCGATGAAAATATAAAGGTCATAGCTAATATCCTCTGAAAAAGATAGAACGGACGAGTTTTTGAAATCGAAGAGTAATTGTTGCTGCATTTCAGAAGGCGTTTCTAAAGCGAAGTTTGTTTGTTTGTTGCTGCAGTCGAATCGAAAAGTATGTTGTCGAAACCCTAATTTTTATTATTACAGTAATCACGATAGGGTTTTTTATGTGTTGTTTGGGGTTTTGGAGTAAGGAAGCATTTGGGACCGATTGCAGGTAGAAATAGATATTCAAGGAAAAATATAAATGTCGATACTTTTATTAAATTTATAGGTAGAAAATGATATTATAGGTTGTATAAATGTGCCGACACATTTTGGTGTGGCCATTCAAATTCTTTTGAAGAAAACCGTTTTACCACAAGAGTAGTTATCTATATTTGTATATTGAAAAGTGTATGTAACAAAATAATTTGATTTGCGTAAACTGATATATGAAGGAAAAATGGAGTCAATGGGTTGGAAAATTGTTGGTGGAGCAGATGACTTTGAAATTGAGGCCGAGACTCGAAAGCAACCAAAGGGTGGATATATGTACTTCTAGTAAGTATCAATGTCTTTTTGTTATTATTGTTGAAATGGTAATTGGATTAAAGTATCGATAAACTTTAAATTGATTACAAATTTTAAATGTTAACAGTATGGTCGAATGCAAAAGGATGAAGGGAGATGGCACACAGAGCGGTTCGGTATGTAAAATGAAATTGACATTGAGTAGTATTAGTATTTAGTGTTAATGTATTGATTAAGAAAC